ATTCTTAAAATGTGCTGGCGCATTGCGCAATAATTGCGCATGTCGGCTCGGGCTTCTTTGATGTGGTTTTACGAATAATGTGTTAATCTACTTGTTGAGGAGGAGACAGGTCCGACCGGTCCCTTAGAGGTTAAAAAAAAGTCCTGTTAATCTTCAGATGAATCAGCTGATCATCACTGGCCATGCGCATCCACTGACTCTTTGCTCAAAAGACGTAAAAAATGTTTTGTTAATCTCAGATGGATCAGTTACCAGCCGTGCACGTCTCCGCATCTGCTGTCAGATCCACGGTGAAGGAAGTAGGAGCATCTTACAGGGCCGGTTCTAGGCATGGTTACATGAGGGGGCAGGTGGAAATGTGAAGGAGGCATCTTCATTCCTACACATATTACAGCATATTCATTTTTGAGCATGGACTTTGGAATTTATTGTTATTGTTGACTTGTGTTTTCTTCATGGGATTGGGGTAATAGTTAAAAGCTGAATTTTTACACCCATGAGTTAACGTTTTCAACCATGAACACTATCAAGCAAAAACAGAGAAACCAACTGACCCATGCTCATCTTGAATGTCTCCGTGTGGCTGCAACAACAAATTACAAATACAACATAAAGAAAGTCAAGAACGTGCACCACAGCTTCCGCTCATTTCAGTACTAAAGTACATTTTATTTAAACAGATAATGTGCTGGCTGTGTTTCTTTTTTGTTCATAGGTGGGTTGTTTCATTGTTTTTCTTTTATTTGAGTGACTTGGGGTGATATCGCAGCTCTCCCCTTGACTTTGATCTGTCAATATGGCACTTTTGAAAAAATAGTGAGGATCACGGTGGCGCAGCTGTTAGAGCTGCTGCCTCTCAGCGAGCAGGTCCCTGGTTCAAACCCCCGGTCTGGAGCCTTTCTGGGTGGAGTTTGCATGTTCTCTCCGTGCATGTGTGGGTTTTCTCCGGGTACTCCAGTTTCCTCCCACAGACCAAAAACATGCATGTTAGGCTGATTGGTAACTCTAAATTGTCCCTAGGTGAGAGAGAGAGAGTGAATGGTTGTTTGTCTCATTTGTCTCTATGTGTCCCTGTGATGGACTGGAGACCTGTCCAGGGTGTCCCCCGCCCCTCGCACAGTGATTGCTGGACATGGGCACCAGCGACCCCCATGACCCAAAATGGAAGAAGCGGGTAAAGATAATGGATGGATGGACAGTCTAAAGAGACAGTAGGAATGTTCAGTTGTTGCACAATATCAAGGCTAATCAAATTTTGTTCAGCTCCAGAGTCGATCAGGGCCTGATTGAGAAAATTGTTGTTGTCAACACAAATAATAACAGACAGACAGAAGTTTTTACCAGGAGAAGAAGTCAGATTACTCACCAGTATTTAGGTTCCTCCCTTCTAAACAGAGCTGGCAGGTTTTAATATAATGGCTGCTCTTGCCACAGTAGAAACATACATTGGCAGTGACTCCACTGTCTTTCCTGAGGAGAAAGTCTTGTCTGGCCCACCTGCATAGGTTCCGGTTCGGAGAGCACTGGAGTGGAAGGATCACTTCCGCCTGAAGAAAAATCCCAGAACTTGTGCTCTTTCTCCATGTAGCATTCTCTATTTCTATTGTCTATGTGCATTTCGAGGTTTATTAGTTTTTCTAAGTCATGGGGGGCCTCGCGGGTAGCAATTTGATCTTTAATGTTGTCATTAGGAGCGTTTAGCAGAATTAACAGTGGCAATTAATGCTCCAGCAAAGACTGAACATCTGGCTGAGGCTTAAGTGGTGCAGGAGGTGCAGGTCTGGAAACAGGCACAGGTGTGGCTGATCAGGTGATTAGTGCTGTGGAAGAAAGTGGTTTCAGGGGGAAAAACTGGGGATCCTATAACAATCAGCCTAACATGCATGTTTTTGGTCTGTGGGAGGAAAAAGGAGTACCCAGGGAAAACCCATGCATGCACGGAGAGAACATGCAAACTCCACCCAGAAAGGTCCGCAGGCCGGGATTTGAACCAGCAACCTGCTTGCTGAGAGGTGGCAGCTTTACCAACTGTGTTCGCTGCGCCCGGATCTCTGAGTTCATAGAACAAGGCTGAAAGTCAGTATTAAATGACAGTGATCTTTGGGCCCTCGGGGGACACTGCATTAAAAACGGGTAATAAAGCCTACATTATATTGTTATAACGCCGTCAGCCTAGACCCTAACAAACCCCCATTGTCAGGATTGATAAGGAAATCTGCATATGCATCTAGCTTACCTCAGCTTTATAACTTGAACTCCTCACTCTCCGTTCTTTGAATTGAGAAAGCTCCTCAGGTGAGAAGTGAAATGTCTTCCGTTACAAATTTCAATTCAGTTTATTTATAAAGCACCAAGTCCCAACCAAGTTGTCTCAGGGACTTTACAGGAACATTCACATAAAAGACAGTTAGTAAAGTTCTCTATCTAAGGAATCCAGCAGACAAGTTGAATCTTGACTTCGTTGCAGTCTCCCATCCTGAGCAAGCACAGTGGAGACAGTGGAAAGAAAAACTCCCTTTAACAGGAAGAAACCTCCAGCAGAACCAGGATCAGGACAAGCCTAAAGTCCAATTGTTTTTGGCTTGAGCTTTGTACCATGTCCTGGACGACAGAATCTTCACCAGCTCAGATATTTCCACAAATTAACAGTATCATTGGTAAACACTGTGCCACACACAAATGATGATTAAAGCTCTTTCATGTGAACATCATCCAAAAATTTATTTATTTATTTATTTATTGTGTATGTGCAAACCCAGAGAGGCTAATCGGGAGGACTGGGACATTTCCTAGTGGGCTGGTCTGATCGCATGGGTCACAGGCCCAGAGCTCCCTGGGTTCTTTTTTTAAGAACCTTTATTAACCACATAAAAACAACGAACACCGCTTCCGCTGCCTCAGGGCTGCCCTGGCTCCGTCTCCACACGAGTTGGATCCTTGACATCACCGGTCAATCAGTCCAGCAGGCATGTCAGCAACTGACCAATCAGCACCTCAGTTTATCCCGACGGCAAACACCCCTTACCTAAAACTGCGCCCGGTTTTCCTCCAACATTTTTCCAGTCATTCAACCTTTATTTGGACAGGTTAGTCTCAATGAGTCACAGCGACTCATTTTCAATAGATACCTGTTTTAGACTGATAACATAAAGTACAGACAACAATAATTCAACAAAAAGCTATTAAAATCAAATAAAAGGTGAAACAATGTCAGTGAGGAACATGCAACTCAGTCATGTGTTACCCTGAGCGTTTAGAGCAGACCTGGCATCGTACAGCCCCAGGGCCACATGGGGGCCTTTGGTTGACTCTTATAAAGGGAATTACAAATAAACATATTTTCGAAGTTTACCTCATGCGTGGACTAAAGCTGCAGTGCTTTTATTTTTAATGTTTTTTTATTCACGTACAAAATGAAGCAATACGTAAATCAAGACATGCACAATGCACATGATTGAACTGTTGTCATGAGCCGGTCACAAGACGTCAGCCCTCAAATATGTCCATTCATGCTAAAAAAAGGAATGAGATACGGCGTGCACGGTGCTCAACTAAAACAGGACTGCTAAATATTTACTGAAGTCGAAGGTAGAGCTGTGTTTAAGGATTACAGTTTGAGTTAACATTAAGAGACAAAACACGCAGAGAAATGCAGAAACTTGACAGATGCTGAAAGGGTGCAGACGTCTGAAGCTTTGCTAGCTAAGCTACAGATGCATCAAGGCTTTTTTACCAAACTTCACACATGCAGGGATGCAGCAGCCGAGACTAGCTTTGTGACATCCCACACACTCACTAACAACAAGAAGCCATTCTCAGAGGGGGGTTGTCAAAGAGTGCTTGGTGGACTCTGCAGCGCTAAGTTGTCCTGGAAAAAAGAAACATTTGAGCAAGTCCCGCTGTCCAGGCGAACCAAGACGAGAAGGATCGAGGACATTGCTGGAAATCTGGAGCTTCATCTGCAACGTGAAGTGGCAAGTTTGGACTTTTTCTGCTTGGCTTTGGACGAGAGCCAAGAAGAAGATACCTAAGAAGATCTTAGAAGATCTAAGAAGATCTTAGAAGATCTAAGAAGATCTTAGAAGATCTAAGAAGATCTTAGAAGATCTAAGAAGATCTTAGGTATCAGTGCGATTACTTCTTGATGCATGGATAGTGGCAAAGTCTGTGCAGCAACTGACTTTTCAAACACAGACATTAATAAGGGTGAGAGTAGACTTGAAAATATCTTACAAACTCAGATAGAAAGCCATTTGGTCTAAGGGATTTCCCATTCTGCACATTGTTGATATTTTTATATAATTTCTTATTTAACTTTAATGTGTTTGTCTGTTGCTGTCTGTATCTCGTCTGTGTTCTTTGTCTAAACCAGGTCTCTCTTGTAAATGAGTCCTCGTGGCTCAATGAGACTAACCCGTAGAAATAAAGTTTGAATGAAAAATAATAATAATAATAATTGTATGATATACTTTAAGGTCAACTTTGTTACTGAAACAATAAACAAACAAACAAACAAACAAAAGAGTTTGAAGGACATTGTTATGTAGATTCTACATGAAGATAAAACTGCTTCAGCTGAATTTTTACTTTAATCTCGGTTGGCTCCTCGCGGCTTATTTATTAATTTAATTTTCCATGTTGACTTTGTGCATCCATTTGTTTGGTAATGGTTTCCCTGCAGGTTAAGGAGCTCTGTAACTCCCTTGAGCCCTGGAGAGGATGGGACAGTCAGGAATGTTGGCTAAATATATAGAAGCTGATAGTTTGGTATCATTTTGGACAAGAAGCTGTGTTTGTGCTGGGGCTTCCATTTCATTTGGAGAGACATTAAAGAGAAATGTGTGAAGCCACCTTGCACTTCTTGTTGAGACAGGAGGACTGGCGTGTAATTAACAGGTGGTCCTGGCTGCTCTGTACATTCAGCGCCGCACGTTTGCTGCTCGGCACACCGGGACTCCTACCTGCTCAACATGAACATGTTGTGGATGACTCTTACTCTCATGGCCGGCAGTATTCATGTGGGGGCTTTACCCCTCCGCACCCCCGGCCTGTCTTCTCAGCCTCCAGCTGGACTCTCTGAAGCCGACCAGAAGTTTGCAGAGGTATTTTACAATGTATCTGCGGAGTAACAAGTTCTTTGTTCTGAGGTAAAACTGCAGTGATTTTTAAAACATGGTGCAGTCAAGCTATTCAAACCCGAGTGGAGCCTTGCAATCATTTGCTTCACTGTTCTACATTCTGGGCTTCAATAAAAGCTTATTAAAATATGTGCAACTAGCATTTCTTCAAAGAATACATAGCAGCTTTTCATGCCAGAGATTTAGACTAAGATCAGAAAATAACTGGATGTGCAATCTCAAGCTATTTTTTTATGTTTTATGATCTGTTGTGTTGGAAATGACTCTCGGCTGATTTTAGCTTCATATCTGTAAATCTGGTTAAACTATAAACTTGTTTTTTTGCATCTTTTAAGGTCAGTGGGATGAGGCAAACATCTTGATTTGTGTTTTTTTCCAAGAGTTAATTAGTTGTGTGTACAGAGTTTGAATGAAAATTATTCAGTAGTTCATGAGATATTTTGCTAACCGACAAACCGTATTGGTCCAACACTTTTAACCAAGGTTTTTGATTGGTTATTTCTATTTTATACTGATTATTCTTCCATACCAAAATTTTAGTTGAAAACCTGTAAAATTGGACATGTTATCACTACGTTTGTGTTTGGTAAGGACATCTGGCTGTGGCAGCCATCTTGAATTGGTCTTGGCCAAATGGCAATGATTTAAACCTCAATCCAACAATTTTCAGTCAGGTCATCTGGACAGTTTTTTTTTTTTTTTTTGCTAAAATGTTTCTTCTTCCATCCGGAAGGCTTCATCAGCCAAGGAAACACACAACACAGCACGCCGGCAACTGACCTCTTCGATCCGGAAGGCTTCATCAGGTCATTGGATTAAGCTGTTGGGGGAAGAATCAGTTTTGTTGTGTGTTTCCTTGACTGATGAATGTTGGATTTTATACCTGGATTATTGAGCATGGACTTTGTTGTTTTCAACCAGTTTGACACAACTGTCAACAAGGAAGAGGGCCGGCAATGGAGGAGGGGCGTACCAAAGAGACCATCTTATCATAAGCAGAACTGGTTTGTTCCACTTTGGAGTAAGCTGTTGGGGGAAGAATCAGTTTTGTTGTGTTTCCTTGACTGATGAAGCCTTCTGGATGGAAGGTGAAATGTTTCAGCACAAAAAAAGAAACTGTCCAGATGACCTGACTGAAAAATGTTGGATTTTATATCTGGATTATTGAGCATGGACTTTGTTCTTTCTAAATTGTTTTCAGTTTACTTGTGTATGTGGGAACATTATATTCTGATAATTAACATATAATTATATTTGGTGTAAATATTTATTTATAATGGACAAGTGGAGAAAGGTAAAAAAGGAAATGTTCAACAAACCTTAACATGAAATGAACATCATCCATCCATCCATCCATCCATCCATCCATCCATCCATCCATCCATCCATCCATATTATCTTTACCAACTTCTTCTTTTTTGGGTCGTGAGTGTCACTGGTGACCATATTCAGTAGTCACTGTGTGAGAAGCATGGTACACCCTGGACAGGTCTCCAGTCCATCACAGGGACACCTGGACACGTGTCCAGTCCATCACACGGATACATAGAGACAAACAAGACAAACAACCATTCACCCTGTCTCTTTCACCTAGGGACAATTCACAATCAGCCTAACATGCATGTTTTTGATCTGTGGGAGGAAACTGGAGTACCCGGAGAAAACCCACGCATGCACGGAGAGAACATGCAAACTCCACCCAGAAAGGCCCCCGACTGGAATTTGAATTTGCGACCTGCTCGTTGAGAGACGGCATCTCTATGAATTGCACCACCGTGCCACCCGAAAAGAACATCATGTTACAGTGAAGTCTCAACAAGGATAAGACACGAGAGAGAGAGAGCAAGAGAGAGAGAGAGAGAGAGCGAGAGAGCGAGAGAGAGAGAGAGTGAGAGAGCGCGAGAGAGAGAGCGAGAGAGAGAGAGCGAGAGAGAGAGAGAGAGCGAGAGAGAGATAGATATGCTGGACTTCATCTATTCCTAGATGCCAACCTAAATTAAGATGGCTGCCACAACCAACTGGCCCCAGACAACACAAAATGTGCTGAAATTCACTCAACTTGTAACGGGTCTGTATGAATCAGCACAACACCTGACTCAAAAATATTTAAAAAAGGTTTTATTTTTCAAAGGCAGCATCTGGTGAGGATCCGGACCTCGGTTCTGGTCTAATCTTCTGTGGCAGGAGCTGGGCTGAGGCAGAGAGCGTTGGAGGGCTGGGCAGGAAACAGAATCCAGGGACGTAGCAGGGGTCGAGAGCCAGGGGCAGTGCCAGCAGGCAAACGATGCAAAAAGGAATCTCTGTAGTCGTGGTCAAAGAGGAGAGCGAGGTCGTACTGTGTAAGCTGCAGGCGTGGTATCCAGACAGGGACAAAGTCAAGACGAGGAGTCGAGAACGAAGCTGTGGTCATAAACTGACACTAGGGATGAGGAATGCTGGATAATTTACCTGCTGTGAGGCTTTCAATAATCTGGCACCTTGCTGTGGCAAGAGCTGAGTTTATAAAGGGCTGGCACCAGGTGTAGAGCATAAGGACTGATTACTGTGATCAGGGAGAGTCAGGTAGGCAGGCTGCCCAGAGGTGATTGACAGGCAGCTAGTAATGACAGAGGGAGAGAGTCCAGAGAAGAGTATAAACCAAAGATGATCAGAGGAGCAGAACATGGATAAAAACGTGGGCAGGGGTCCAAACGTGACAGAGCCCCTCCCTATGGCCCAGCTCCCGAAGGGCCGCCAGGTTGTTCAGGGTGGGCATGGTGAAAAGTCCTAATCAGGGACTTGTCTAGAATGTGTCAACTGAAGACCCAGGAACGCTTCTCGGGGCCATAGCCCTCCCAATCTAAAAATAAATACTTTTGATTTTTTCCACGAGCCTCCTGTCGTCCTCCTGCACTTGGGTTCAGCTCTTCTGACGGCAGACAAGCCAAATGTGTTTGTGCTGATTGGCTGAGGGGAACCTTCTCTAACCTCCGTACCATCACTCCATAATAAATGTAATTTAAATACAAAAGCCAAATGCTGCTCTGCTTACTGATTTCAAACTGCTCTGACATTTTGTGACATGGGTCAGGTAACAGTGAGGCTGGGTTCAAGTTAAACGTCATTAGAGTCACAGTTGACCATTTTTTAAAGTTGTCTTGTGTTTATTGGCTTTTTCTGCATTATTCTGCAAAAACATGCATGTTAGGCCTTTAGCCCCAGGTCTCCATTGCAAAAGAGATCTGTGATGTCAGTGGGATTTGCCTGGTTAAATAAAAGTAAATAATTGTTTTAGATTCAATTGGTCATTGAGTCTCAGATCCAGATGTTCATAAATGTGCAGTAATCTCATAAATTAGATGTTAAACAATACATGTGCAAGAAATCATACTGACACCTGCAATAACCCGTGTTCAGCAATGTTTCTGCACTTTGTATTAAAGGTTTGAAAAGAAATGTTGGGAATGTTTACTGTGCTATAATTTTACAAGACATGTTTACTGTATGTTCCTTGTCTGCTGGACTGACAAGAGACAGTAGCTCAGTAAGAAAAATTATTATTATTTTTGTCCTTGTTTCAACAAGCTCTTTTCTCTCTCATAGATGTAACGCGATTTATTTCCTGCAGGAATATCTAGAGCACTTCTATGGCTACCGGTCTGAGTCGGACAGACCAAAGAGGGCTGTGGAGTCCGGCAAAGATTTGGACAAGAAGGTGCGTCTCAGCGAAAAGGTCAAGAAAATGCAGCGCTTCTTTGGTTTTCCTCCCAGTGGAGAACTTAATGCAGAGACTCTTGCAGTTATGAAAAAGCCACGCTGTGGACTGTCAGATGTGGAGCAGTTTGGAGAAACATTTCGCTGGAAAAATCGCATAATCAGCTACAGGTCAGACGTCGGATCACGAGGCAATGTTGTGAAAATGCTGCAATGCTCTCAGCTAGATGCTAAAGCAAGCAAATCATACATCAGATGCAAACATTCTGATTTTTACTTTTGAGTTAAGTGTTTACGGTCATCATCAAAGTGAAGACCTGAAGTAAGTTTAGAGTTTCAGCTTAGACTAAGGTGAACCCCACGCACTTCACTTCTCCTGAGTCCAGGGTGTCGTCCTCGCAAACGTTGCCTCTGACAATGCTGTGACAGCAGTTTTGTTTGGTTCACTGTCACTGGTCCACCAATCAGGTTTGAGATGACATATTCCGTATTTTCCGGCCTATAAGTTGCAGTTTTTTTTATAATTTACATGCCCTGCGACTTATAATAATAATAATAATAAACTTTATTTCTATAGCACCTTCCAACAACGCCTTGCATTGATCAAGGTGCTTTACAAGATAAAACTAATAAAAACAGGACACAATAAATCAGTGCAAATTAAAAACACAGCCACAATAAAAGAAGGTAAAAGAGATAAAATAAATAAATTCTAAAATACTAAAAGTTAAACATTAAAAGCCCTTTTAAATAAGTAGGTTTCCAGTTTGGCTTTGAACAGAACCAGATCAGAGATGGCACGCAGCTCATGGGGAAGGCCATTCAAAGCTTTAAATTCAATCAAACAGCAGCAGCTTGAACTGTGTCCTAAACTGAACTGGGAACCAGTGCAAAGAAGAAAGGACAGGAGTGATGTATTCATATTTACGAAATGTCCAAATTAACATGGCCAACACCGATGGAAACGTGTCTGAGTAAAAATCCCCAAGATCTGATCCATTCAGCCCAAAGCATTTGAGTCTGGGTACTCCAGACATGAACCAAGCCATCATAAAGGCAAGCAGCGTGATCGGGTCCAAATTTGCTGCTGACGACTTCCTTGATTGTAGATAAAACCAGCACCAGCTGAATCTAAAAAGCAGGAACCAATTATCAAAAATCCAATTAAATATGCGTCCTTAAAATCCACAGATGGCAGCAGAGATACACATCATCAAGTCTTCCAGTCGATGAGATATACAGCTGCGTACGTGCCAACAGGGTAAATCGGCTCGCCCAAAGCCTGTCTTCTCTTGGAAGAAATGTTGTAAATTAAGATGAGGGACCAACTGGTCAAAAAACAAGTCCATAATTATGGTTCGGAAGAAATGCAAGAGAGTCTCAGAGTAATTTCACAGACAGACAGAGCAGCAAAGCAAAGCGGAGAGGAAGGGAGGGAAGCATCCGATCTCGTGGGGAGCGAGTGGTGAAGTGAAGTGCATTTGTTAAGGAAACGTTCAACTGAGATACATCTTTACTATAATTTCGAGGAAAAAGATAATTATTTTTAGGTGATTATCCATCCATCTATCCATTGTCTTTACCCGCTTCTTCCATTTTGGGTCACGGGGGTCGCTGGTGCCCATGTCCAGCAATCACTGTGCGAGGGGTGGGGGACACCCTGGACAGGTCTCCAGTCCATCACAGGGACACATAGAGACAAACGAGACAAACAACCATCCACTCTTTCATTCACACCTAGGGACAATTTAGAGTTACCAATCAGTCTAACATGCATGTTTTTAGTCTGTGGGAGGAAACTGGAGTACCTGGAGAAAACCCACACATGCACAGAGAGAACATGTAAACTCCACCCAGGAAGGCCCCGTACCAGGATTTGAACCGGCAACCTTCTTGCTGAGAGGCAGCAGCTCTTCCAGTTGCGCCACCGTGCTGCCCGTTTTTAGGTGTTTATCTTGTTAAATTTCAAAGAAATGCACAGCCACTCGTCACTCTGCGCGCTCCCGCTTCCGCGAATCGGGTTTTGAAATACAGCTGATTTGACCGTCAAAGGGCATTTATTAATGAAAAGTTAGACTGAGACACACCTTTACTTTAATTTTGAGCAAACCAACAATTGTTTTTCGGTGTTAATCTTGTTAAATTCTTGTTAAAGTCCTCCCATGCACGCTCCTGCGGCCGCCATTTGGCAGCCAATCGATATTTGGCACAACACTGGCCCACATTTCTGGGTTGTCAGCGATGACGCATAATAGATGCGACTTCTACAGCTAAGCAACATATTTATAAATTTTTCCACTTATCAGACATATTTGGACTGATACAACTTATAGGGTGGTGCGACGTTTATGGCTGAAAATACAGTAATTTTAACAACTGTGGCTTCCATGAAGACCTAGTTAGACTTATAAACTTAACCAAATTATTTAAAAACCTAAACCTTATCAGATAGATTTGTTTTCTAAACCTAACAAAGCATTTTTTTCTGCAAACCCTACAATCTAGTTTTGGCTCCCAAACCTAACAAAACACTTTTGGTTCCTAAACTCAACCAAACGGTTTCTAAACATAATCAAGCAGTTATGTTTGTCCAACTTAACAAGTCATTTTGTTTCCCAAATCTAAATAAATGTTTACTTTCTCTCCCTAATTACATAGTTTATTTTCCATCAACCCTAACCATGTTAAAATTAATCCAAGCAGTTTTGTCAACCACACCTAACTACATATTTTTTGTTTTCTAAACCAAACTAAGCAGTAAGTGAAACAGTAAGAAAAAGAGTTTGAGGACTTTGTCATTGTTCATACAGCAGGTAAACACTCAGAGCACTTAGGGTTCACAGTTTTCAACATTTCCACAAACGGACAAAATGCACTCCTACTGGAGACACCCTACCCCCATCCCACCAAAGCAATTAGAAAAATGCTGACTTTCACAAAACATGTTTTATTATTATTAAAGCTGCGACATAAAACCCATGGACTTACATGGATATTGTTTTTTCTTGTTGTTTCCTTCCTTTTGGCTGCTCCTTCTTCAGGGGTTGCCACAGCAAACTAACTCGCATGAGACTTGGTGACTGTTTTGACTCCGGATGCCCTTCCTGACTCAACCACAGACCACCGACCTACCACAGCCCTCTGTGTGCAGCAGAGAGCTGCCATCTAGGGATCCCTGGGGAGCAGATGGTGGGGGTTAAGGGCCTTGCTCAAGGGCCCAGAGTGGCTCCTATGCTGATTGTACCCAAACTCCCCATACATCAGATGGTGTGTCAATATTTTCTTAACTGGAGAATAGCAACATGTTGGTTATAAAGGGCATAAAAGAAAATGTTCAGCATTGTTTTTCCTTTTGAAAAGAGTACACCAGTCCTTGACTCCCTCCCCACCTGCGTACAGTTTGTGTGCTTGTGAAAATAATGGATTGAGAAAGTTCTGAAATTGTGAACTGCCCCTTCTTTCTGCAGCCAAAATTGATGCAGCTAGTATATCAAGTCCCCAAGGTTTTTTTTTTCATTCAACCTTTATCAGAGTCAGAATCAAAGTTTCCTTATTGTCATTCGCACCTGTGGTACATGTGGTGGAGCGAAACTATGTCCACAGGGTCCCAGTTACATCCAACAATAAAATGTAAAAGAAAAACAATGATAACATCTAAGATATGAACTAAGAAAAACACCAACTAAATATACACCAATAAACATTTAATATACATTTAGACAGATAAATTACATTGAACCTCGAAGACTCATTTACAAGTGAGAGCTGCTTAGACAGACAAAAAGTACTGAAACTGGAACACATAGGAATTGGAGGCAAAAAAAAAAAAAAATTCCTATTAAACTTTTTCTTCTTGACTGAGAAGAAAAACTCTAATATTAAAAAATACCTCGCACATACAGCACATAGTGACGTAGACATTCCGCAGAGGGTGGGGAGAGACGACAAGAGCGGTGAGCAACGTTCAAGGATGCACTCGAGGACATTGTAAAAGTTCTGATAAGGATTGAATAACCAACAAGTTCCCTCCAGTGAGATCCGCAAACATTCTCGAGTGATGTCGGGGAATGGCCAGGGACAACGTCTTTGGGAATCCAAGAGTCCTGAAATGATGACACAATGTTTATTCAGCTGGTTTCCTCTTGTTGATCAGTTGGAAATTCCTCGATGGTAGGGGGAGGGGGCGGGGCAGAGCGTCAGATCACATGTTCTCCAGGTGAATTCAGATAAGATGGCCTTCAAGGCCAGACAGGGGAGCCAAATTCAGATAAACACAGTTGTTTTGGGGACAGGCAGAACTTAATGACATCTACCTTGAGTCCTTGTTGGTCCAAACAGTTCCGAAATGTCCAAATTACATGGCCACACCGAAGGAACGTGCCTGAGTAAAATCCCCAAGATCTGATCCATTCTGCCCAAAGCATTTGAGTCTGGGTACTCGAGACATGAACCAAGCCATCATAAAGGCAAGCAGCGTGATCGGGTCCAAATTTGCTGCTGACGACTTCCTTGATTGTTGATAAAACCAGCAACCAGCTGAATCCAAAAAGCAAAAACCAGTTATCGAAAATCCAATTAAATATGCGTCCTTAAAATCCACAGATGGCAGCAGAGATGGACACATCAAGTTTTCCAGTCGATGAGATATCCAGCTGCGTACGTGCCAACAGGGTAAATCGGCTCGCCTAAAGCCTGTCTTCTCTCGAAGAAATGTTGTAAATTGAGTTGAGGGACCAACTGGTCAGATCAAGTCCATAATTATGGTTCGGAAGAAATGCAAGAGAGGCTCAGAAGTAGTTTCACAGACAGACAGGGCAGCAAAGCAAAGTGGAGAGGGAGGGGAAAAGAAATGCGTACGACCTCGGCAAGAGCAAGTGGTGAAACGGATGTGTTGTGCAAGATACTGATGAGTTCTGATGATTGAAGACTGTAAAAGTTGTTGATTCGCTCGGAGTCATGAACGTTTGTCATGCACTACACCTGAAAGTAGTCAGTCAGAAAACTGAATATTGGCAAACTGACAGAAAAATAATCAGTTTCATCACTAGACCGGTGGTTCAACTGGTAAAGCTGCTGCCACTCAGCGAGAAGGTTGCCGGTTCAAATCCCGGTTCGGGGCCTTTCTGGGTGGAGTTTGCATGTTCTCTCCGTGCATGCGTGTTTTTTCTCCAGGTACTCAGGTTTCCTCCCACAGACCAAAAACATGCATGTTAGGCTGATTGGTAACTCTGAATTGTCCCTAGGTGTGAGTGAGAGAGTGAATGGTTGTTTTCTCGTTTGTCTCTATGTGTCCCTGTGATGGACTGGAGACCTGTCCAGGGTGTACCCCGCCCCTCGCACAGTGATTGATGGACATGGGCACCGGCAACCCCCGTGACCCAAAATGGAAGAAGCGGGTAAAAGGTAAAGGTAAAAGATAATGGATGGATGGATGGATGGATGGATGGACCTATAATACTTTCAGATTGTTGTACTTTTCTCATGTACTGTTTAAATGTATGTAAAACATGTTACATCATTTTAGATCAATAAATTTAAAGAATAATATTCAATTTTACAGGATTACCAAAGGACACATCCCATTCCCAGCTGAACAGATCCACAAAGTCTTCAGGACAGCATTGAAGCTCTGGTCTAATGTGGCTTTTCTAAAAGTTTGCAAGGCGAAAAGGGAACATTCTGACATTGATATCTCATTTGTCAGTGGTGGTGAGCTCTGAGGATCAAACATTTTCAGTTTATTTGTGCTGCACACTTATGATGACAGTAAAACGCGATTTAAAGCATTAATTTGACAGGAATGTATGTAAACCTGTTTCTTGCAGATCATGGAGATGGTGCAGTTTTTGATGATAAAGGTGGAATTTTGGCTCATGCCTTTCTGCCCAGCTCTGACATCGGAGGGGACGTGCACTTTGATGCTGATGAGGAGTGGAGTTTGAATACTACTGGTACTAAAGTTAAAATGTTTTAATAGGTTATACAGATTAATAGCACTGTGAAGTTTAAATACAGATGTTCGTCTTCCTCATTAAGAACTCACGGTTAAATGCGCAACAAATTTTATAAATGGTCCACACACTGCAACTTTTTAACATTTTCATGTTCCATTCTGGCAACACGATGTATCAGTTGGTAGAGCTGTTGTCTCTCAGCAAGAAGGTTGCCTGTTCAAATCCCTGTCCGGGGCCTTTCTGGGTGGAGTTTGCATGTTCTCTCCGTGCATATGTGGGTTTTCTCCAGGTACTCCGGTTTCCTCCCACAGACCAAAAACATGCATGTTAGGCTGGTGACTCTAAATTGTCCCTAGGTGAGAGAGTGAATGGTTGTTTGTCTCGTTTGTCTCTGTGTGTCCCTGTGATGGACTGGAGACCTGTCCAGGTGTCCCCCACCTCTCACAGTGACAGCTGGACATGGGCACCAGTGACCCCAGTGACCCAAAAAGGAAGAAGTGGGAAAAGATGATGGATGGCTGTGACAAAACAAACAAAAAAAATCTGTAAATTTGACTTGTTTGTGTTCACCCCCATGAGTCAATACTTCGTGCTACAAAGTACTTTGTACCTTTCATATGTGAACAGCCTTTTTCATTAATATTTAGAATTATTATGTTTTTTGTTTTTTATTGGTGCATATACTCAGTTGGATTTAGGTCTGGGTCTAGGTCTAGTCTTATACCTAAGGTCACCTGGGGGTGCTGCAGGGGCGAGGAATCAAATCCAATACCATAAAACTGAACCTCCTCTGGGCCAAGCTGCTCCATCCAGTCTTCTTTCAGTGTAGTTTGACTCACAATTTAATTACACATGGCTTGTGTTCCTGTTTCAGGTACCAGCCTACCTGTCGTAGCAGCCCATGAATTTGGCCATGCGCTTGGCCTGTCTCACTCACCTGACATCGGGGCCATCATGTTCCCAGCATACAACTCTGCACCCAATTATAAACTGCAACTCTCTCTTAGTGATGTCACAGATATCCAACAACTCTATGGTGAGTATAAATCCAAAGGCAAAGATGCTACAATGTTTTTTTTCTCAAAAAATTATTCCAATGAATCAAATATAAACCTATATTGTGTAATTCACAAATGTTATTTCTTCAAGCCTGTGGAGGAGATGAACTATGTAATTTACTTTAAAACAGTGGTTTTAGTGAAATGCACTGATGCAGATCACATTGGCAATTGAAAAATACACTTCACTTCTGAGAGCATGATCACTGATTTGTAAGAACGTCGTGTTGCACAGCTCTCTTCATGTCTTGTTGTAGCATTTTGTTTGGGTTCAGGTTTGGATGTAGAAAAGGACAACCACTGAAGGAGGAGGCAGAGCAATAATGTTTTTACACGTGCCTCTGTGTGTAATTTGTCTGTCATTAGTAAAATATCTTGTGAACCAGCAAACAGATTTGACTAAATATCCTGATGCATGCTCAATAATCCAGGTAGAAAAATTTAAAAAAGTTAAGTCTGTCACTGGACGGGTCCAGAGGACCTGACTTAACATTTTTTAGATTTGACTAAAACTCTCAGAAGTGAATTATTAGATGAACATCTAAAACTGATTATCTTTAGGAGTCCTGCTGCTGCTCAATAACCCACCCATCCATCCATCCATCCATCCATCCATCCATCCACCCATCCATCCATCCATCCATCCATCCATCCATCCATCCATCCATCCATCATCTTTACCCGCTTCTTCCTTTTCGGGTCATGGGGGTCGCCGGTGCCCATGGTCTGTGGGAGGAAAGCAGAGTACCCAAAGAAAACCCACGCAGCATGGAGAGAACATGCAAACTCCACCCAGAAAAACAACAGAAAAGGTTAAACCATTTCATCTGGACCAGTTTGTTTAAGGGAGAAACGTTTCGTCTTCCATCCGGAAGACTTCATCAGTCTGTGGCCTGCCAACCAGATCTGTCCCATAAGTAGTCTTCATTGCTGTTTCAAGCCAACCTCCTGTAGGAATCTCAGAAGCTTTAAACACATGCAAAAGGACCCATCTGTCCAAAACAATCAATCATCATGTATAACAATCAAATGTTTTAAGCCAGATGGTTGACTTGCTACTCACAGAAACAGCATGAGTACACAAAGGCCAAATCTGTCAGTGTTGGAAAGCAAGTTACACCAACATGTCTTCGGTCACTGGACACACCATCATGCTGATCAGGTCACAGGGGTCAGATAGGGACCGTTCAATGTAAAACTTTACACTTCCTCTTGTCAGGGGGCGTGGCTTAAGTGATGTCATGATTTGACCATTCAGTCTTGCAGGGGACCGGATGTGGATCAATCACTGAAGGTTTCATGTCTCAGACAGTTTTCGTGTAGGAGCTCTTAGCATTTCGTTTTTCATGGCGAGATGTCAAAATTTGAGGTCTGGCCCCGCCCCTTCAGCATGCTCCGAAACGCACCGTTTAGATAACTTTTTGTCCCCCATGCCTTTTGACTAAAATGGCCAAGTTTGAAATGGATTGAGTGAAATCCCTAGGAGGAGTTTGTTCAAATGCGGATGCTGTAAACCCAAAAAAGTGTGAAAATTGGGCCAGCATTCCAAAATGGCCGCCTTCCTGTTTATCCTACAATGTTGGTGCCAGAGGGTTTTCTGTGCATCTTTCGGAATTGGACAAGTGTACCAAATTTCTTGTTTCTACAACAAACTAAAGTTAATGCAGAGGTTTTTTTTTAAATTTCCAGGTGGCGCTCTTGAGCCGTTTCTGTTGCGATTTTTGTCACGCACTTAAAATATGTAATTTTTCACCAGTCCTGATGCGTCCGCCACATTTGGTGAGTTTTGGGATGTGTTAAGGCCCAAAAGGCCAATTCATTTGATGGAAAAATTGCAGCTCGGGCCTGAACAGAGCGATTACAATAGGCCTTTGCAGCGTTTCGCTGCTCGGGCCTAATAAATAAAATTGTACAAACATTTCATCTTTCATCTGAGAGACTTCCTCAGTCTGAGGTGCTGTATTCAGCTCAGTCTCTTAAATAGCACCTTCTCAGAGTGGATCAACCAGTTTGCTGCTGACAACCAGAACCAGCTGATCACATGCTCAAGAAGGACCATCAGCCTAACAATGGATCATTAGCACCTGATGGCTGTTTACTATTCACAGAGGGCTGAGTGATACTAGCAATCACAGCATTGTAAGAGGGGGACAATTGAACCTGGAGGCCTCCAGAGGACCTGACTTAACATTTTTAGATTTTTGTACCTGGATTATTGAGCATGCATCAGGATGTATTGAATATTGTTCTGTTGTTTGGTTTTATGCTGTTAATAAAGTAAAAAAAAAAAAACCTTCCTATTTGGCTTAATGTAATTCTGTTTTTTTTTCTAATGTTGTGATTTTGTTATTTTTGTTGTGTTTTTTCAAATGTTGTTCATTTACACCTTAGGGCCACCGTAGTGATGGGCGATATGCATTTAATGTCTTCACAAATACTTGGCCTTAAATGACAAATATGTGTTTAATTTTATTAATCTTTATTTTATGTAATTTCACATTTAGTTAAAATCTACTGTTCAGTTTTCAAAACTTGAATACTGTACACACAAATGCAACAGCTTGTTCAGCTAGATGACTTTTCAGCGTCACAACAAAACCCATGATGCATTTGACTAATCCCCAAATGTTCACCCTGTGTTTTGAGGAGGGGTTTCTTTGTAAATTAAGTTTTAAAGTATTCTGAAACGTTTGCATTTGCCAGCTTTTACTCAGTTGTTACTTGAATTTGAATTATGTCCTGCTTATAGTGCTGTTTATTTTCCTTCAGGTGTCAACCCCAGGTATATTTCACGACTCTCTAAAAGGCCTCCTCCAAGAACACCTGACAAATGTGATCCACATCTGTCCTTCGATGCTGTGACAGGATTACAACAAGAGCTTGTGTTTTTCAAAGACAGGTGTGTTCACATTATTAAGAATAATGGTGCGCCAATGTCACATTTGTTTCAAACTGTGTAAAAGTACTTATATTCTTTGAGGGCGTGGTGGCACAGAGGTTATAGAAGGTGGGCTTGTGAGTGGAAGGTCACTGGTTCAACTCCCCATACCGACAACATCAAAATGTGGTGGGAAAGGTGAAACACCCAGACTTGCCTCTACCCTTATTTGCGCCACTCTGAACCCCTTGGACAAGGCTCTTAACCCCCACCATCTGCTCCCCGGGGTGCAGGGATGGATGGTCGGCAGCTCCCTGCTCCACACAGAGGGCTGTGGTAGCTCAGTGGTCTGCGGTTGCGTCAGAAAGGGCATCCGGCGTAAAAATAATCACCAAGTCTTCATGCGAGTTAGTTTGCTGTGGTGACCCCTGAAGAAGGAGCAGCTAAAAGAAGTACAAGTACTTACATTTGAGTATTTTCTGATACCAAGGACCAGTACAAGTACTAATAAATGTCATTCTACTTTTTACAATTACTGTACTTTAAAAATCAGAAGAGCTTAATTTTCATGCTAACTCCTTCAACAGAGCCAGAGCAGCAAACTTTTCCAAAAGCTTCTGTTGGTGACTGCAGTGTTGCCAATTCCCCACTAAAGGAATATATGTCTTAAAAGTCCAAGAAAAGTATTACATGTACCTGACTGAGAGCCAGAGCAGGACCAGCCAGTGGGGGCTTTTCACATGTTCACTGGCACGCTAAAACCAGAGGTGTGAATATCTGCTGCTCTGACTGCAGCTGGTGGAGATGCTGCAGGACTGGAAGTGCTGAAAACAACAGCACTCACTAAATACTCAGAATACTCACTAAATGTAGTGACACAGTTGCTAAATTGGCAACACGGGGCGGCTGTGGCTGAATGGTCAGAGTACTCGTCCTCCAATGCAAGAGATGGGGGTTCGAATCCACCGGCAGTCACATGGACAGCTTTGCAGAGTGGTGTGGACAGAACCATCTGCAACTCAACGTTGGAAAAACTAAAGAGCTGCTGATGGACTACAGGAAGAAGGTCAGCCCCCCCAACCCTATCAACATCAAGGGTACTATGGTGGACACTGTGGACTGCTACAAGTACCTGGGAGTCCACCTAGACAATAAACTGGACTGGACAGCTGACACCAACTCCCTCTACAAGAGAGGGCAGAGTCACCTTTTTCTTCTGAGGAGACTCAGGTCTTTTAACGTTTGCAGGACCATGCTGCAGATGTTTTACCACTCGGTGGTGTCTGCAGGACCATGCTGCAGATGTTTTACAACTTGGTGGTGTCTGCAGAACCATGCTGCAGATGTTTTACCATATCCTGAACAACTCATCACACTCCCTGCATGCCACACTGGACTCACCACAGCACCTTCAGTCGTAGACTGAGACCACCGAGGTGCTCCACAGAACAACACAGGAAGTCCTTCCTCCCTGCGGCTATCAAACCTTTTAACTCCTCCCCCTTTCTACACATAGGACAATAAAATTAATCCTGCACTACAATAAACATAAAATAATGTTTCTGTCTGCACCTGACCCATTTTAGACTTATTTTAGTTTGTTGGTATTTTTATATTCTCCGTTATTTTTTTAATATCTTGTGTATATTCCTTTGTATGAATGGTAATTGGACTGTACTTATAGAGCGCCTTTCTATCTTATCGAGACACTCAAAGTGCTTTACAACAATCTGTGTCCTCATTCATACAGCTCTATACTAGATCTCTACAAAGCTCATTGAACAAATCGTTCTAAAGAGACTAATCAGATCTTTAGATCACATTCATACACTGATGGACACACATCAGAGGCTATGAGGGGTTCAGGGTCTTGCCCAGGGACACTTCAGCATGTGACTGCTGGTGGATTCGAACCCCCAGCTCTTGCATTGGAGGACGACTGCTCTAACCACTCAGCCACAGCTGCCCCTAACTCTGGCACAACAATTTCTTGTGGGATCAATAAAGTTATATCTTATCTTATGCTGAGTGTCACTGGGCAAGACACTGAACCCCTCGCTGCCTCTGATGTGTGTCCCATCACTGCATGAACGGGTAAATGAGGCACAGATTGTGTTGTGAGTGTCTTGGTAAGATAGAAATGAGCTATATAAGTACAGTCCATTTACCATTTACTTTAAGTGAAGGCCTCTAGCATCTGGAACATCTGCACATCCTGTTTGAGTCTTAATTGGCTGTTTGAGCTGCCCCTGAATAACTTTGAGACTACAAGAGTAGACTAAGGCAGATTATTTATAAATGTCCAACTATTTTCCATCTCACTGCCACACAGTCATCTTCTGTGTCAAAAGTCCGTGTTTACCTCTAGCTGAAGAGGGTGTGTGACACACAGCAGGTTTCTCTTTCTTCATCTATTATCAGACTCTTTGAACTTGGCGTTGTGTTGGTTTTGTAGACGTTTTGAGGTGGCTTCAACTAGCTGAGCAACAACATTTATAATGGGATCTCCAGAATGTCTTGAAGCATTTGGCAGCATGGTGGATCAGTGGTTAGCACTGTTGCCTCACAGCAAGAAGATTCTGGGTTCAATCCCCAGTTGGACCTGGGGTCTTTCTGGGTGGAGTTTGCATGTTCTCTCCGTGCATGCGTGGGTTTTCTCCGAGTACTCTGGTTTCCTCCCACAGACCAAAAACATGCATGTTAGGCTGCCTTCAAGTCCAGGCTTCCCTTGTAAAAGAGATCTGTGATCTCAATGGGATTTGCCTGGTTAAATAAAGATTAATTAATAAATAAATACATTTTGCAGTTCTTCACAATTTCCTGATGAGTGACAAGGTACACAGTCCTGTCAACTGAGTTTTGAACATGTTCAAAACATTCATGGATGTCTCCCACCTCTGTCTAGAACTGTTTTTGACCTTTCCAAGTAGCTCTTCACAAGCAGAAAATGTCCAAGAAAATGCTTAGCTCTAAAGATAGTAATATAACAAATAATAAAACTTTATTTATAAAGCCCTTTAAAACAACCACAGCTGCCACAAAGTGCTGTACATATAACATAAAGAACATTTAAACACATAAAAACAGTTGTTAAAACATTAAAATCAATAAAAACGGTGCAGAATAAATTCAGTGTGTGCTAAAAGCCAGGGAGTAAAAACGTGTTTTTAAAAGAGTTTTAAAACTGGACAGTGAAGG